CCATTCTGCTTTGTGTTTCTACTCAATGCACCTCATGAGTGGAATCAAACAGTATTTGTCCTTTTGTGTCTGGCTTATTTCATTTAGCATGGTGTTTCCAAGGTTCATCAGTGTTGTAGCATGCTGGTACCACTCTTGGTTCTTCTGTAGTCCTGGCTTCTAGGAAGTCAGGGATTAGAAAGAAGCTGAAATAGAAGAGAAAGCCAGGAACTCTTTGAGTTACAGGGTAATTATTTCTTTTTTTTTGATGGGACTGAGTTTGAACTCAAGGCTTTATGCTTGCCAAGCAGGTACTAATCAGTATGGAGAAAGTGAAATTTGGAAGGGGAAGGAAAGAAGAAAGCCTGAGAGCTTGATCGGGAAGTAGAGTGGAGGGGAGAGGCTCTTAGGATGTGAGGATATGAAGAGAAAAGAAACCAAAAAGTGGGTATGGCAGCCTCCATCAATATTTAGATAGGCAAGGATTCTATTTTTTGTTCCCCCCTCTCACAAATTTCTGTTTCTACCTTTCTGTTTCCAGGTAAGTGGCTCCTGGTAGGGCTGAGCTCTTTGATTTAAATATTTGATTTTAAACTCTTTTTCTTCTTTTTTGGAAGAACTGGAGTTTGAACTCAGAGCTTCACACTTGCTAGATAAGCATTCTGCCACTTAAGCCATGCTCCCAGTCTTTAAAACTTATTTATTTATTTTTATTTATTTATTTTTTTTGAGACAGCATCTTGCTATGTAGCCCAGGCTGGCCTCAAATTTGTGATCCTCCTGCCTCTGCTTCTTGAGTGCTTTGCTTACAGGCATGTACGACCAGGTCTGGTTTAGGTCTAAATAATTGAAAAGGCAAATTGTGCTTGGTACTGTGTGTCTAAGCGAGGTCCAGGCTGATAAGAGGATCTGCAGCTCACTGGCCAGAAAACGGAGGGGTGACAGTGTGCTGCCCGGCATAGTGCTGCTAACTGGCCTTCAGCCCTTTATGTTTGATTTTATTTCTTTTGTGGGACTGGGTCTGAACTCAAAGGTGCTCCACTGCTTGAGCCACACCTCTAGCCCGTGCTGTTCTGGTCATTTTTGGAGATGGGTTCTCATGAACTATATTAGTAGTTATTAAACTTTTTTTATTTTCTTTTATTATTCATATGTGCATACAAGGCTTGGGTCATTTCTCCCCCTGCCCCCACCCCCTCCCTTACCACCCACTCTGCCCCCTCCCTCTCCCCCCTCAATACCTAGCAGAAACTATTTTGCCCTTATTTCTAATTTTGTTGTAGAGAGAGTATAAGCAATAATAGGAAGGAACAAGGGGTTTTGCTGGTTGAGATAAGGATAGCTATACAGGGCATTGACTCACATTGATTTCCTGTGCGTGGGTGTTACCTTCTAGGGTTATTAAACTTCTTTAAGCAAGTTTGCTTTTACATCTTAATTACATCATCACCTCTTTGTTGACTTAACGCATTCGTAAGGACTTGGAATTGACAACTTTTCAGATTCTCCTCTGTTTTCTTACTTCCAGTTAATTGTCAGTTTCTAGAATATTAGGAACACTATATTCAATATTTGAATAAAAATACATTCTAGAGCGAAAGAAAAGCTTTTCATCAACTGTTTTGTAATTTGCTACTGCTCTTCAATCGTGGATATATATAAAACTTCTGCAGTTATAGAGAGTGGGTTCAAATTCTGACTCTCTTACTATCTCACAGTTGTTTATACAGTTTTTTTCATCTCTCTAAGTCGTGGTTTGCTATCTGTAACTCTCATAGAGTTATAAGGCTGTCAGGTGAAATAGTAAAATGTAATGTAAAACAGCACAGTAACTGCCACATAGTAAAAACACAGTACACTGGTATGTGACTGGCCACGACTGTCTAGTCCAAGAGTGACAGAAGGCAGCCCAGGGGTCATAATCAATTATAGATTAATTACAAGTCAGCTTGTAATACTTCACTCTTGCAGCTTAAAAGGGATATATAATTGTATTCCTATCATTATATTCAGTACTTATCAGATTCTCGATAGAACTCTCTGCCACTGAGCCCCAAATCTATGGGTTTCCAGGGGAAAATCAGAAAGCAAAGATGCAGAATGGTACCTATGAGGGAAGGTTAAACTGGCTGGGATTCTTTTGCTTAGAGAAGTTTGTGAGGGAACATTAGAAAAAGACTAATACACTAAGTCGTGGTGCATTTACATTTGTTGTTTGATTGGTTGAAATTTGTTGTGGAATTACTGGACCAAATGAGATGATCCCAACATGGTTAGAATCCACTCAGGTTTAAAAATTTTTTTTTGCCGTCATAGTGTTTGAACTCAGGGCCTACACTTTGAGCCACTCCACCAGCCCTTTACTGTGATGGGTTTTTTTGAGATAGGGTCTCTCGAACTATTTCCCCTGGGCTGGTTTCTAATCACGAGTCTCCTGATCTCTGCCCCGAGTAGCTAGGATTACAGGTGTGAGCCACCTTCCCAGCTTAAATGTTTTAAAAAATTTTTAATCTATTCTGATTTTAGGGATGCCGGCTAAAGACAATACTAAAGGAAATGGCTTTAAGCTATAGAAGAAAGGATTTAGGTGAGATGATTAGAAGAAAAATTTCTGCCAATGGGATGTGTTAACCTTTAAAGCCTGTTAACATAGGGTCTGATAAATTTTCTTTTCTGGGAGGACTTCAGAAGTAGATTAGATTTCTCTCTGTGTGAGGTAGCTTAGATAAACATACACCTGTAAATAGGTAGGATGTGCTGATGGTCTTTGCAGTTTAAGAGTCAATAAAGGCCCTTTTCATTACCTAGCTGCAATCAGTCACAGCCTCAGTGGGTAACCATTCTGCCTGTATTTTCTCATCTTTTTTGATGATTAATTTAAATGCCTAACAAGGAATTCACAGTTTTTCTCACAGTTTTTTTTTTTTTTTTTTAAACCTCTTTGCAGGCACTAGTGGCTCTTGTCTGTAATCCTAGCTACTCAGGAGGTAGAGATCAGGAGGATCACGGTTCAGAGCCAACCCAGGCAAATAGTTGGACCGACCCTATCTTGAAAAAACCCATCACAAAAAAGGGCTGGTGGAGTGGCTCAAGGTGTAGGCCCTGAGTTCAAGTTCCAGTACTGAAACAAAACAAAACAAAACAAAAAACCTCTAGAGGTATTTAGTAATGGGAATGACTCAGGCTCATTTATTTATCTATTCTTTGAAGTTTATACATTTTGAGGTTATACATTTATTGAAGTTTAATTTACCTATTTTAGTTTTATGAGTTTTTACAAATAACTACGCTTGTTCGTCAATCAGGAAGACCTGTTTATGTCTCAGTTGGTGGTGGGGGAGAGATGTAATATCAAGTTGAAGGAGCAAAGCAAAAAGATGGTGACTTTTGGGGGGATTTTTATGGGAACCGAGGTCACAGTTTGCCTGTGGCAAGATCTGGTTGTTTGTGGACTCTCAAATTGAGCAGTTGAACTCATTTTGTCCCCGTCATATGGTTAATTGACTGGACCTGGTTCTTTTCGGATTACATTTGGTCCCTGGTCTTTTGTAGCATCTGGAGAAAGATAAGGAGTCCATTACAAATGATTTTAGGATTAAGAAGTAAGATGTGTTTCTGTGTGGTTCATTTCATTTTTGCCTCACCAATAAAACATTCTAGGGACTCTAATTATATTTTAATTATAACAATAGTACATTCTAGATTTTCAGGCCAATTTCATTTCAGAGTCAGTCCTTTTGTTCCCATAAGTAACATATGCTCAAGACAACATGCTTTGATTTTTGGTTTAGAAAATATGATCACTATAATTTATTGTATCAGGGAGAAGACAGATTGGTAGGAAGCTCCACTTCAGCTTAGCTTCTTTCAAGTGATAAAATGGGCATTTACAGAAATAGAGACACATGGTTGATTTGTGTTTTAATGATTCTGAGCCTGGGGTAGAGAGAGAAAACTACCTCCTATTGAGTACCTACAATGTATATACTTGACACACTGCTAGGTGCTTTCCCAACAGACAGCTGCTCTGGCTAGAATTCTATCCCAGATCCAACCGCCATTTAAATTAAAACAACAACAAAACACATATGCCTCACAGGGCCTCTTTCATTAATAGCTGTCACAGCTGCCACACCCTTTATAAGACCCTGGGACCATAATTGGGATAATTGAATCTCAGGACTGGATCTCTGTGGTCATCGGCCATGGAGTTAGAAGGAGGATAGTTGTTCTCTTTACCACAAGTTTGAGAATCACAATGCTCAATTCTTTCAATGGGAGGTGCAAAACATGTCTGGGCTGTCGTTTCCGTAGGCTACAATTCCATAAAAGAAAGGGCAACGATACACAAATGTGAAGCTTGAAATGCTTTCCTTCCAGGCTGGAAAGGGTAAAGTGAAGAAATATGCCTTCCTGGGGTCATCAGACAATGAAAAAAGCAAAACCAAAACCCCCAACAACAAACAAAATTGGCAGTCCTACATAGGTGAGAATGTTGAGGCCCACAAAAGGGATCCTGATTGACACTGGCAAACCCCAATGAGTTCTCTCTGTTCTGTTTCACCAGCTCTGGAGTACTAGCTATCCTGAGTCCTCCTCTTTGCCCTTTTATTAGAAAGCCGGGAAACTCTCCTTTTCCAGGAAAAACAGTGAGGCAAGGGGCATCAGGTGCATGAACGCTATCAAGCAGGTAGACGTTTTCAGATGCCTGAGTAGTAGCAAATACAGTCGTCCTGGAGGCAGGGGAATATATTTCATGCCCTCTAAAGGTCCCTTCGGTTCAAGGATACTGTCATTCTCCAGGCTGTACAAGGGGGAGGGCCTGCAACGTCCATGCTACCATGGTAACGCGCCGCCGTGTTCCTTTTTCTTACGCTGGGGCGGGGCACTCCGCTTCAGCTACCTATCACACACAGGATTTCTTGAGTGGCGGGCAGCAGCAGCGAATGGGCGATCCGATAGTGCGTGACGCGACGGGAAAAGGGGGAGTTCGCGGCCGGTGGCGGCGGTGGCGACAGCGGCGACCTGGGGATCGAGCTGGAGGGGTCTCGGGAGCGTGCAAAGACCTCTAGCTCGAGCGCGAGGGACCGCTCGCCAGGATGCCTGGTACTGCCTGGAGGCAAATGCGTCCCGCAGCCGGCTCTGAGAGCTCGGGCGTCGGGTCTGAAGGGATGGCTGACCAGAGGGGGCGGGGTGGCAAGCATGGCGGCGGTGACGGGGAAGGGGTTGGAGGGGCCTGTGGAGGGGGTGGGGAAGCCGCAGCTGCGAAGGCTGGGTGGTCCTGAGGAAGCGTGAAGGGCTGTAAGGGTTCCCGCGAACCGAGATTACAAAGCAGTGTTTCGGGGGACGGTCGAGGCGCCAGAAGGACATGAGGAAACGTGGGGGGCGGGTGGTGGAAAAAGGGGCGGGGAGAGAAGAGGTTAGGAAGGAGGGGAAAGGGTGTCTACGGGAAGGCGATGAAAAAGAAGAGGAAGGCTTATTGTAAGTAACAAGGAAACGGGGACTTGCAAGGTTTGATAGGAAAGTGCTTGCAGCTGTTACCGATACGTCTTCATCAGAGGAGCCCAGGACTGGGCTCTACTCTTCATGGCTCTTGTACTTCCGCCCCATTATTGAGGCTCAGATCGTATGAGGAAGGCTTGTAGGTTACCCAGAACTGATCTTTTGTTATTCCATTCCAGGAGAGCAGATGGACCCTACTGGAAGTCAGTTGGATTCAGATTTCTCTCAGCAAGACACTCCTTGCCTGATAATTGAAGATTCTCAGCCTGAAAGCCAGGTTCTTGAAGATGATTCTGGTTCTCACTTCAGTATGCTATCTCGACACCTTCCTAATCTGCAGATGCACAAAGAGAACCCTGTGTTGGTGAGTGATACCTTGTTTGTTTGAAAATGATTGAGCGCATTTTTTTTTGTTTTCCCTTTGGTTTTTGGTGCCTGGGATTGAACCCAGGGTCCTCCTGCCCCAAGTGCTTTACCACTGAGTGTACACCCCAGTCCCAGAGGTTTTTTTTTTGTTGTTATTTTTCTGATCCAAGCCAACCCGCAAACCTATGTATTTAGATCACTATCTTTCAGTAAAGTTGATTAGAAAAACGAAATGATCGTGTTCACAAAAAGTGTGTCTTATTGTGGATTATTTAGTGCATTGTGGGGGCCATTATGTATGTCTGTTTTTTAGGATGTTGTGTCCAATCCAGAACAAACAGCTGCAGAAGAACAAGGAGACAGTAATAGGGGGTTCAATGAACATTTGAAAGAAAACAAGGCTGCAGGTGAGGCGTTTTAAGCTATCAGTCCCCTTTACATTTTCTTAGATGCTATTGGAATCCGGAGAATTTAAACATCGTATGGTTGTGGTGAGTGTATGTAAGGAGGTCTACTTACAGTATCTGATGCACATTCAGAAGCATTCAAAAACACCATGTTCTGATGGGGCAGATTAGATTGGTGATGTCCGTCCGTATTCTTGAATTTGTATTAAAGTTTGGTGGTAATATCAATTATTTTTCAGACCCTGTGGATTCTCATTTGGATACATGTGGTTCCATCAGTCAGGTCATTGAGCAGTTACCTCAGCCAAACAGGACAAGCAGGTACATTAATGTTTGAAGGAATTTATTTAAATTAATATTGATGGATCAAGTCTTTTATCTGTACCTGTTGCCTTAGCCCAAGGATAAAGGAATTTATCTTTTGTAAATTAAGGAATGGGACTGAAGGTTGTATAGTTAATATTGTGTTAAGACTGAGAGCTGGAATCTGTTTTGTGAAGATAATAATTTTTTGTAACTACAGTATTCAAATTGTAATCTGTCTCATGCATGTGAAACAAAATATGCATTCCTAGTTAGGTGTGGTGCAGCATGCCTGTAATCCCCACTGAGGCAGAAGAATCAAGAGTTGTAGGCCAGTCTGAACTACATAAGTAGACCCTGTCTTTAAAAAACAAGGGCTGGGAATGTAGCTCAGTGGTAGAGCACTTGACTAACTTGGGAAAGGCCCTGGGTTCAATCCCCAGCACTGGCATAAATAAATATATATATCCTCATTCTTAGCAAAAATATGGCTTCTTAGGAAAAAAAAAAAATCAAAAGATACTTAGGTGTGTTGTTAAAACTGTTAGGATGCTTTCTGCCTACCAACCAAAATACCTCACCAGTTTTAGATCTAGAATGCTTAGTTCATACAGTATAAACACTATTCAATTTTTACCATGTTTTATGAATATCATGACAGTGTCCTTTTTTTTTTCTTAAGTTTAGCCTCTGTGTTAGGATCTTTATGGATGTTGGACATACATTATTTAATTCTATTCAAGGATAGCTGTGCAATGAAGATATTATATTACTTCCATTATGTGGAGAGGGAATTGATGGGCAAAGAAGTGAACTTTCTGTAGAACACATTGATGGTGACAAGAGCTGGATTTTCAGCCCTAATGCTTCTACACTAATGCTTCCTCTTTCTTACTATTCAGTGCTTCTCAGTCTAAGGTCAAAGAGATAGACAACTGTAGGAGTCTTGTTGGGGTAGAAAGGAGAGAGAGAAAGAGAGGAGAATGTGAGCTTGAGATAGTTGAAGACTTGCTTTATCTTGAAAATAAGTGCTTTTTTTTCTGCTTTATGTTTGTTTGCAAATAAATTTCTCCCACATCAAGTGAAAATGAATGCTTTAGGACAGTCTGCAAACTTGTGGGCTCGTTTTGGCCAGTAGATGGGTTTTATTTGGCTCACACGTTGTAAGATGTACTTGAATTAATTGAAATACTTCAAAAATGGGGAACTTTCTCATAAAACTTGATTTCTTCTTCTGGCCCTATTGGCAACAGTTGGCTGGAGTTGCGAGTAGCATCCAGCTTCCATTTGGATGAGGCATGGAAGTGGTATGGTTTGTCATAGTCTCTACAACTCACTATTGTAGCTGGACACTGAGACCAGGTGTTCTTTTACCATTTGTCATAGTGCTTGTGCTTTTGTTCCCATATCCAGCTGCTTTACTCTTTGGTATTTTGGTTTGCTTTCTAGGCATTTCAGCTTACAGTACTTTAAAAAATGTGCTAGTCTTAGCTCAGCACCCTAGTTTGAAAGGTGGGAAGGGGAGAGGAGTATGCACACCCCATTGTGAATGAAACAATACTGTTTGAGAAGTTCCATGACACTTCCCTTTTTGTATCATGTGTTTCTTTTTCTCTAAAAACAGATTGAATGGTTGAATTCAATAAATGTGTGTGCACTGTGGCGTGTACCTTAAAGAGGCTTTGTTATCATGGAGCTTACAATTTGATAGGGGAGACAGATGTTAACCTAGTCATTACATCAGTAGCTACTCAGTTATAATTGTCATTTTTGCAAAGAGAAAAAAATGTAAATGACCCAATACGGGAAATAAAGCAACATCTTTTTTTAGGTGCAGTCTAAATAATCTGAATTTGCTAGGCGTAGTTGGAGGGCTGAAGAGAAACATGCAATATGAGAGGAGGTGCTTTCCAGACAGAGTGCATGTGCAAAGTCCATGAAGCTGGAGAGAGTTTGGGGATGACTCCAAAAGAGTGAAAGTTCTTCAGAACATATGTATATAATCTTCATTCATTTGCGGAGATTTCGAAAAAAAAATTCCAAGGAAATCTTCCTGCCTTACCTAGTATCCTGTTGATATAAGCTGATCCTAAACAGTAAATGTCCTAAAATACAGAAGAAAAATAAATATATTCATTTTTCCATCAAATCTTTATAAAAAATTGACATAATTGTAGATTGACATGCTATAGAAAGAAAAACAGAGAGGTCTATGTATCTTTTGCTGGGTTCCTCCAGTGGTAACATTTTGTAAAACTGTAACATTTTGCGAAACTGTTACCCTATCACAACCAGGATGTCAACACTGATAAAACCACATAATTCATTCTCATTTTCTTTTGTATTTGTTTGTGAGTGTCTGTATTGTGTTTTACATAGTTTTATCAGCAGAGTGTGTTTGTCAAGATACGGAACAGTATCAGTGGTACAAAGATGTCTAACGATGCCCTCCATAGCTACGCCTCCCTCCCTCTTCTGCACACGAATCCCTGGCAACCATTAATCCATTCTCCTTTTGTAAAATTTTATTTCAAGATGTTATATAAGTACGTAACCTTTTTGGAATTGACTTTTTTCCTATCTGCTTAACTCCTAGAAGCTCCATGCCAGTGTTTGCATGTATCAATAGTGCATTCCTTCCTATTTCTAAGTAGTGTTCCCGTGGATGGATGCACCACAGTTTAAGTCATTCACGCATTGAACTGGATTGCTTCCAGTTTTACTATTGCGAATAAAACTGCTATAAATATTTGTGTACAAGTTTTTGGGTGAATATAAGTCTTCATTTCTTTGGAATAAATGCTCAGGTTTTCAATTGCTGGGTTGTATGGTAGTTTTCTAGAGCATCATTTTACAGTTCACCAGCAGTGTATGAGTGATCTGTTTTCTCCATCCTCACCAGCTTGTGGTTGTTTCAGGTTTTTTTGTTTTTTTTTCCCCATGTGTGGTGTGAGGATTGAACCCACGGTCTGTGCTGGGCTAATCATTGCTCTATCACTGGGCTATTCCCAACCCCTTCACTGTGTTTAATTTTAGTCATTCTGATCATTGTATAGTAATATCTTATTGTGGTTGAGTTTGCAGTTCTCTAAAGGCAAATGATGTTGACAGTGCTTATTTGCTGTCTGTCATCCTCTTCAGGGACATTGTCCATTGCTGTGTCTTTTGCCCAGTTCCCTTTTTTTCCCTCTAGTACTGGGGATTGAACCCAGCATTTCATGCATGCTAAGCAAGTGCTTTACTGTTTGAGCTATGCCCCCCAGCCAAATAGATTTTTTGTGGTAATGCAGATTGAACTCAGGGCTTGGTGCTGGCTGGGCAGGTGCTCTGCCACTTGAGACATTTTTCTAATTGGATTTTTTTTTTTTTGACTGGTGTGTTTTGAGAGTTTATTTTATATTTCTTTTTTGTACTGGGGATTGAACTCAGGGCCTCACACTTGTTAGGCAGGCCCTCTGCCACTTGAGCCACTCTACCAGCCCCAAATTTTTTACTTAGTCCTTTTTCTCTTCCTTGGGTTGTGATCCTCACTTTGCAAACTTGTGTTTTCTCCTCTTTTATGTTTATTGATGTAATGCTTAATGCTCTTTCTATGAAATAGTACATGTGCAGAAAGTTTCAAGGAAGCAAAAGTCATTCATAATCCTACTACTCAGAGGCTGTTTGCTGTAAACATTTTGGTATGTTTTGTTTTTATTTCTGTGTATTTGATTTACATAGTTGACATTATTTGAAAATTATAAGCTTGTATATTTGCTGATTTTTTTTTTTTTTTTGCTGAACAATATGAACATTTTATCCATGTCACTTTTTTATTTTAGAAGTTTAAGCCTTCAGAAGAAATAAGTCCCCTAAAATACTTAGCATTCATTCTCTAAGTGGAGGTACATTATTCTATATGATTATAGAACTAAGAAAATAGTTCCATAATATCTAGTAATATAGGTCATATTTAGATTTTCCCTGTGGTGTCAAGGATATTTTTTACATTGTTATTTTTTGAATCTATGATTCAATCTAGGTTTACATATTATATTTGATTGTTTCAAACATTTTAATGGCAGCTTAACATTTTATAGGTGATGAAATTATTTTCTTAATTCTGAACTTATAGGTTCCTTCCTTCTTTCCTCCCTCCCTTCTTCCCCCTTGCGTCCTTTTCTCCCTCCCTCCCTTCTTTCCTACTTATTTACTCATGCCTTCATTCCTCACTCACTCACTCACTCTCACTGTATAGCCCAAACTTGCTTCAAGCTTGTGATCCTTCTGCCTCAGCTTCCTAAGTTCTGAGGTTAAAGGCATGCATCACCACACCTGGCTCAGGTTATTTATTAATAACAGTAAACTTTGAGAAATTTGTTTGTGTAAGGATCTTTTCTCATTTCAAATTGTTTCTTATAAGTAGAATTATTGGAATTACTAGTATGAACTTTTTAAAGCTCTTGATACATATGTCTAAATGGTTCTCTAGAAAGGATCACTTTATTTATTTATGTCTTTATTTATATATTTGGCTGTGCTGAGGTTTTTGAATTTAGAGCCTGGTTCTTGCTTGGCAGGTGCTCTACCACTTGAGCCATGCCCCAGCCCTTTTCTGCTTTAGTTATTTTTCAGGTAGGGTCTTGCATTTTTACTTGAGGTCAGTTTCAGACCACAATCCTCCTGCCTGTTTATGACCTCCCATGTAGCTGGGATTACAGGTGTGTACCACTATGCCCGGCTTATGTGTTGAGAAGGGGGTCTCAGGAACTTTATGTATGGGCTAGGCTCAAGCCCTGATCCTCCTGATCTTTGCCTTTCGGGTGGCTGGGATTACAGGTATGAGCCACCACACCTGGCTATACTCTCATTATATATTAGCAGTGTATGATGTTTATCTCACCTTAGTTTGAGTAGCACTGAATAGTAGCACAGTATTAAAAGGTTTTTTTTTTTCCCCTAATTTGATTGGCAACAAGTGGTTTCTGTGTGTTTTTTTTTTTTTTTTAACATGTTTAAAGATACTTGTATTTCTTTTGAGTTGACTGCCATCCATTTATATGTTGGGATTCTTTGTATGAATTCTTTTTATTTTTTTGAGTCAGGGTCTTGCTGTGTCCTTAGCTAGCTTTGAACTTGAAATCCTTTAGTCTCAGCATCTCAAGTGCTGAGATTCAGGCATGTGCCACTGTGCCCAGCTTTTGTATGAATTCTTTATATTTTATGTAGACTAATCTTTTGTTATATTTGGTTTTCTATTTTTACTTTTTTGGTAGTGGTTCTGGAGTTTGAACTCAGATCCTCATGCTTGCTAGGTTGGCACTCTACCACTTGAGCCACTCCTAGCCTTCTTTTGCGCTGGCTATTTTTTAGATAGGGACTCTCAAACTATTTGCCTGGGCTGGCTTCGAACCACAGTTCTCCTGATCTCTACCTCTTGAGTAGCTAGGATTATAGGCAACGCATTGGCCCCTGGCTTGTTATACTTGTTCAGTATCTCTTCTGATTAGTTTTTTTGTCTTTTTAGTATTATGTATTTTGACTATAGTGTTAAGATTCTTTAAATACATAGAACTCGTAACCTGAGTTTTATTTGTACACTTTAGTTCTAAGATTTTTTTTACTAAAATACTTTTGTGAACTTCATCCATTTTATTTATTTATTTTTGCAGTACTAGGGTTTGAACTTAGTGCCTCATGCTTGTTAGGCAGGCACTCTTTCTGCTTGAGCCACTCCACCAGTCCAGAACTTCGTCCATTTTAATAGATGTGTTTTTTGAGCTCCTTTGCACATCTTTTCTTGTCACTTGTCCATAATTCTTCTGAATGCAAGATTTTTGTATCCCTGCTCATAATATGATAGAATTGAAGTATATTTTTGTTTCTTCGGTTTTTCTGTTAATAATTCGGTACATTATTTTGAGTTGTTAATCTTTTAGTTACTTTCTGTAGATAGCTCTAGAGGGGTGAGGTTTGTTTACATTTTCACACTTGGCTAAGAGGTAATTGGTATGTGTGGGGAGCCACAGAAAATTCTGGATGCTCTGAGCAGAGTTCCTACCTACTTGGAATAGCACATGATTGTGTCCTTCCTCTGTGTAGTGTCTTGGGAAAGTCAGTGGAATCTGCTCCTGCTGTGGGGGATGAGAAGGAGGAAGAGTTGGAAGAAAAGGAGAAAGAGGAGGTGGAAGAAGGTCCAGACGATGCTGTACCCTCCCTCAATGCAGAAGGTAGCCTTGTGCCTTTTTCAGAATAGTAGATTCTTTTACATTCCTTTACTGTGAGCATGCAAGTGCCTGAATTTCTCTTTATCATGTTGTAGATTTTTCATGATTAAATTGAGAATCATGAAGAAATTTGTTAGTAGTTTAAGGTATTGTACCTAATTTAGTGTTTGGAAATTTGTATTTCTGTTAGTTAGATTTAATTTTCTGTGTTATTCAGCTTTCCATTGCTATGACCAAATACCTAAGAAAATCAACTGAGAAGAAGAAAAGTTTAATTTGGCTTACAAATTTCTGTTCATGGTCACTTGACCTGTTGCTTTGGGCCTTGATAAAGCAGAATGTTACGGTGGGAGCATATGGTGGAGCAAAGCTGCTTACCTCATGGTGGCTGGGAAGCAAAGAAAAGAGGGGATGGACCAGAGTTCCAGTGTCCCCTTCAAGGGCATGCCCCAGTGATCTAACTTGCTCCAGTAAGCCCTTCTTAAAGGTTTCACTACCTTGCAATAACACTGCAGGCTGGTGACTATGTTTCAACATGTGGCCTTTGGGAACATTGAAGCTTATTCACTAGCCCTCTCCTTCTTTTTGCAATTGGCTCTTTTTCCTTTTTTTTTGGTGGGACTGGGGTTTGAACTCAGGGCTTCAGTGCCTATAAAACAAGTGTCGTACTGCTTGAGCCATGCCTCTAATCTGACTTTTTCATTTTGTATTCGTTTGTATTTCAACTATTTTGGGTGCAGGGTGGATTGTTTGGGTGTGATTTTATAGTGTATCTCCAAATGTAGATATCTTTCCATAAAGATGTAAGTAAATCTTTATATTGTGCAAGTTTTTGCTTCATTATGCATTTTTCCCCTTCATTTTAATGCATTTACTCTGGATTTTGGTTTTCCTTTTTTTGTGGTGCTGGGGATTGAGCTCAGGGTCTCATGCGTGTTAGGCAAGTGCTCTCCCACTGAGCTATATCCCCAGCCCCTTATATTTGACTTATATTGGAAAAATTTCATGGGGCAGGGCTTTGCTATAAAAACTTAACCTGATCCTCTTTTGGTAAGGGGCAGTAGCTTACACATTGATAACATCGTGGGATGATTACCTAATTTCTTGTAGTTTTGTTCTTAGATCCTGCCTCATCACAGTTGGGCTTTGGGGTTCTGGAACTCTCCCAGAGCCAGGATATTGAAGAACATCCTGTGCCATTTGAAGTGGACAAAGAGCATCTGCAGCCAGTTACCAGCAACTCTGGTGACACTAGGCTGTCTGATATGGATGCAGATACTGGTATGAAACATGTTTTCTCCCATTTGGAGTTGCTTATTAATGTTTTTCTCCCATGCTAGTGCTAGTCTTTTTTTCCTCAATAACTTTTGTAATTATCCAAGTTAATAGTATAATCTAAGTATATACAGTCAGTTTTCAGAGTTGGCTGGTGTATACTTGTCAATTGATGACTTGCAGATTGAGGTTTTTTGTAAATCAGTTATTGGATACATTCCTTGTTGGAATTATATCTGTATATATTTTTAAATTTCTAGTACTTTGAGAAGTTAAGTATTTCCTTCTTGTCTTTTTTCTTCTGTCTTTTTCTGAAACTTCAAACAGTTAAGGATGAAGAACTGTCCAGTGAAGATATCCCCATGGCAGAACAGCCCAGCAAAAACATCCCCATGACAGCACAGCCCAGTAAAAGTGTGCATGTGGTAGAAGAACAAGAGCTACCACCTGCAAGGTAACAGGTTCTTTCTAAAAGGTGTTTTTTTTTTTTTTTTTTTTTTAATGGAGTTATACTAATTTCATTTTCCAGGTGGAAACATTTTTAGAAATTTTTTTTTCTTCTTTGTATTTGACATATTTCTGGTTCAGTAGATATACTGATTATTTACAAATAGTGATTATTTAAATTACCACATCTGCAGATGCTCTTTGTCCACTTCAAATGGCACAACATGTTCTTCAGTGTCCTGGGTCTGGGAGAGTTCCAGAACCCCAAAGCCCAGTGTCATTGTGTCCCCATCTTAATTTTGGCCTAGTATAGTGGTGATTTATTGCTGTAACTATAAGCATGACTCCTTAATCTGTAATACTTGCCTACAGAGGCACTGTGTCCCTGCAGGAGGTCTCCTTAGCCTCTCTGGTGTTATGAAGAGCCACATGAATACTATATTTGAAAACTCTATTGTTTCTGTACTTGGGCACCCAGATTGCTTTGGATCCTTAGGCACCCTTCATCTGGTAGTTTATGGTATAGAAGATGTGGGGATTTTCCCAAGTATTTTAGGCTCTTAACTTGAGAATCGGGAAATACATATCTGTATCTGTGGTTATTATCATATCCAAAACTCGTTGCCTCTGGTCAGCAGCTGAACTTTGGATATGGCTGAGAAAAACTGGGAAGCTTGCAGTTTGGGGAGGGATGAATAAACATTCACCCTTGCTTTCTTGCTTTCTTTTTTTTTTTTTTTTTTCAGTAGAAAGTCGGTTGTGAGGTCCTGCATAAAAGTGAATGTCATGAGAGGTTGTTTTTCTACTGTATGACACCTTTCTTAACAGTGGCTAGCCTTTTAACCTTTTCTTCAGGAAGTTCTCCTTCCAGTTAATTTTGATATCCTATTTACTCTGTGGAGTGGTAGAATAGGTGAAAGTCTCTGGGAAGGGCCCAAAAGGGAAGGGTCTTAACATATGTGAGTAGTATTTGTGAGGGAGTCTTAGAAAAGATGAGCAGTAGGTAATATGTGAGTGGCACTAGTGCAGAGGCTAATTCATATCTAAGCACTTTCCATGGAAGATCACCATTTGGATGTCTCTTAATGGCATTGTTGTGGTCTGGATCAGAATACTTTATAAAAGTGTAGAGAACAATTTACATAAAAAAATCCCCAAATCACTTATCAGAAATCTTAGAATGAATACAGCACAGTAGTAAGCAGAATTGAAGAGAGGGATTGCTGTGTGAGATACTGAGGTCGGCTTTGAAATGGGCTAAGGACTTTGTAGGATAACTTACTTTACTTTCAGTAGACAGTTAGGTTAGAGTTGCTCTAATTTTTGAAATTATGAAAGAAAACCATACAAAATAGGAAAAGTTAAAAGTTGAAAGCATTTGAACTTAGGAACCTTTTCTCCTGGTGATATGAACTTCCTAGGTCAGAAGACATGCCTTCCAGTCCCAAAGTGTCTCTTGTTCCTGTGGAAACAAAAGAACAGATGTGTGCGCAAGAGCTTCTGGAAGGTGGACTGCAGATTCAGAAGTCCTCAGAGCCTGAGGTTTTGTCAACTCAGGAAGACTTATTTGACCAGAGCAATAAAACAGGTACAAGGAATGATTAGTTGTTACAGCTCTTCTTCTTCAAAGATCTAAATTATTATTTTAGTTCTGAGACTCCCATTTAAGTTGGAAAGCACTTTACAAGTGTTCAGATTTGTTGTGATAGAGAAGGAGAATTTGTTTCCAGCTAAGTGGTGAGAGGGCTTTTAGTGGATGATTGCTATTTAACCTTTAGTTTTCCCTTATTTGGAAATACAGCTATTTAAGAATAATAGCTAATAAGATAAATTTGTTATTATGGACAAAGTAGCCATTTCTTCTGCCACCATGTGTTTACTAAGTATTAAAATCTTAAATATGATAATTTTAAAGTTTTTCCTATTCATCTGGGTAACATTGTATTTACTCATCTGTTTATTAGTTTACCTGCCACAGAAAGGAAGTTAAGGACTAGCAGAAAGGACTTAAAACTTAGAAGACTAGAATGATACTTGTTCCACACTTTTTTTAGACCTCCAAACCTCTCATTGTACAATCTGAAGAGAGCCCAAAAGCTTTCTTGAAATACAATGTGTTGATGGTAAAGAGGAAGACGGGTGTATTCTTGTACTATTCTATGATACAGATCACTGTGTAAGACATGCAAAAGGTCACCAAGAAGCCTTGTTTCCTCAGTAGAGCTATAAGATTGTATATAAGAAACTCTTTACACTTAGGATTAATGTGGATTATATTCTGCCTGTTGCTGAGAAGGGACCAACAAGATATATGATAATATTATAAGTCAGTGATGGCTGCTCTTTTTTTTTTTTTATCAGTACATTAGTATTTTCTGTCTCCTTCAAGGAGGCCCCAGTTCTAATCATGAAATTGGTGCATTTTGTATTATTAGGTGTCATGTGCATTGTTTTGACTTCTGTCTGCATTGTGTCATGAGCTTTACTTTACCTTAGGTAGACCTTGGAATAAAGACTCCCTTGCTGTTTTATAATAGAAGCATCACAAGAAGAAGAGCAGTCAAGCAGACATATAAAGATTCTGGCTTTACCTTTCTAAGCTTAGATTATGACACAAAGGACTAAGGAACTCTTTCCATCATTTTTTTATTAAAGAATCCCATAATTTAGGGGGTGGCTAATGTTCACAAACAATTTCTGCCCTCTTGAAACATGGCTGGAAATACTGATATTACTGTTTTTGCTGTATGAGTGTGTGTGTTTGTACAAGTCAGTAATGTCAATCTGAGAAGTAAATGTAATTGGATTTTTTTTTCTCCAACAGCTTCTGATGGTTGTTCTACTCCTTCAAGGGAAGAAGGTGGGTGTTCTGTGGCTTCCACACCTGCTACCACCCTCCACCTCCTCCAGCTGTCTGGTCAGAGGTCCCTTGTTCAGGAGAGTCTTTCCACGTAAGTAAAACTGAAATAAGCTTGTGCCAAAGTAGCAAACTCATGCTGTAATTGAAAGAGCTAAAGTTGTTTGCTAGACCAGAATTCTTTTTAAAAGCAAAATGTAGAATCTAAGCCTTAAAGTTTTGGGGGTGACCTTAGGGGAACTGTTGTGGACAGGTAGATGTATTTTCCCATTTGGAAGCCCAGGGTTTTCACTAGTAAAGAAAATGCCCAGTTATTTAGAAAAGTTCTACGTCAAAAACAAGCCCTGTGCTCCTCCATGTTCTAGTGTTTCCTGCCACTTAACAGAATAGGTTGGAGAATAGACTGTTAGAGTTGACAGTAGCTGGGTTTCTTTATCTTTGTATTAGGGTTAAAGAGATTTGCTGTTTTTGTTTTAAACTAAAATATGCATAGTCTTCCTATATGCAAAAATGAGGTAAATTTTTTTATAACCTAAATTTGAGAATGAACTCGGTTTTTTTTAGCACTTTTCAGTCATGATGTCCTTTTGTCTAGTCATTCAGGACTTCATGCTTTCGAGGTAGGTGCTTTACTTCTTGAGCCATGCTCCAGCCAGCCCTTTTTGCTCTGGTTATTTTGGAGATAGGGTCTCGGTTTTTGCCCAAGCTAGTTTGGACTGAGATCGTTCTATTTTGGGTGTGTGCCACCACGCCCAGTTTTCTTCCACTGAGATGTGGTCTCAGAAACTTTTTTGCTGGGGCTGGTCTGCAACTGCAATCCTCCTGATCTCAGCTTCCCATGTGTCTTGGGATGACAGACTTGTACCACTGTGTCCAACGATTGGTCGAGATGGGGGGTGTCTCACAAACTGTTTGCTAGGGTTGGCTTTGAACCTCGATCCTCCAGACCTTAGCTTTCCAATTAGCTTGGAATAAGTCATGAGTGCCTGACTGCCCTTACTTTTTTTTTTTTTCCTTTAAATTCTTGTTTTAGAAATGTCTGGTGTGAGAAATAGTTACTCAGTCTCAGATTACTATTTGGAGAAATGCTACTAAGTTTTTATCTGAGTGAGTTAGCTATTTTTGATATTAAAAAGTGAAAACAAATATGGAAACCATGCTATGGTAAAAATACCTGTGATTCTCTCTTTATATAAAGGAATTCGTCAGATCTTGTTGCTCCTTCCCCTGATGTTTTCCGGTCTACCCCTTTTATCGTTCCTAGCAGTCCCACAGAAGAAGATGGGAGAAAAGGTGAGCTCTGTTGATCTGTTGAGCTGTGTTTTTCTGCCTTGTAAAATGTACTGTTTCTTTGTACTTTATTTTCTTGGTGGTACTGGGCTTTGCATTTGCTAAGCAGGTGTTCTACCACTTGAGCCACACCTCTAGCACTGTTTCTTTGTACTTTGTAACACTCTCCCTTATATTATTGATGAGGACTCATGTCGATAACCTTCAGGGATATGGCCTAGTGTAAAGTGCTCTCCTTTGTTCTTTGCTTTTCAAGCATGGATTCTGAGATTTTTGTATTGTTGACATAATTTTCCCAAAAATCCTTAAGGAGAACTTTTTTTGTTTTTAAGGTAAAACTCAAGTGAGTTAGTATGGGGAAGAACTGTAGTTCTAGCAGTTTCTAGTAACATGTTTCTGGTGAGAGGGAATCAGCAAGTGTGTCTTGGGCTTTTTATAGATTTTGCTGTTATTAAAATAGTGTTGGCCACAGTTAGTTTAGAGTAGCTCCAAATAGGTAATAAACACTTTATTTACTTTCTTCTTTGAGGACTTAGTGATTTTTATATTTTTATTCACAAGAAAGCTTTCCTTTTTACTTAAATGTATCTTATTTCTTTAAGCCTCATTTGCTGTGCCCCAGTCTTCTATCCAATCAATTAACATATTTCTAAATTCCTACTATTTCTACAAAGCTTTTCCAGTAAATTTCATGATTTTTTTCTTTTCATTTATTTATTTATTTTTTTGTGAGAGAAGGTCTTGCTATAAATCCAGCCCGGCCTCAAACTCAAGATCCTCCTGTTTCAGCCTTCTAAGTGCTGGGATTCCAGCATGTACCACCATACTTGTTCCTCTTTTTATTCTTTCACATACCAATAACACTACAATAGCTTATATTTATTGAGCATTTAGTATATGTCAGACGTTGTTCTATGTGCTTTTCTTTGGTTCTAGGTACTTTTCTGTTTTTTCTCATTGAATGCTCACTGTAATACTATGGAGTTGGTATTATTTTATCCTCATCTTACAGGTGAGAAAATAGAGGCACAAAGAGGTTTCACAACTAGTAAGATATAGAGGCAGGATTTGATTTCAAGCAGTTGCCTCAAGAACTTTTGCTGTTATCTGGCATGTATATGCCTCCAATGATTTCCTACTGTCTCTGCTCTTGAGTACTGTAAATACAGAAAGACCCTGAACTGTTTTTTAATTCTAATTTATCTATGACATTTTTTTGTGCATGTGTGTGACAGTGGTTTGAACTCAGGGCTTCACATTTGTAAAGCAGTAGCTATTCTACTTGAGTCACACCTCCAGTCCATTTTGCTGTGGTTATTTTGGAGATGAGGTCTCTTAAACTGTTTGCCTGGGCTGACCTTGAACTGTGATCCTCCTGGTCTTAGCTACCCAAGTAACTAGTGTTACAGGCATGAACCACTGGCACCCAGCTTAATAAATTCTTTTATTTATTTTTGGTGGGACTGGGGTTTGAACTCAGGACTTTGTGGTTGCAAAGCAGGCACTCTGCCACTTGAGCCACACCTCCAGTTCAGCTTAATAAATTCTTAAAGTATTTTTATGCAGTTGGTATCATATTATGTATATGATTCAGTTTTCTTGTTTTCATATAACATATTCTATTTCCCAGTGTCAGTTGTCTTTTAGGTTAATGAATTCGCTTAATATGTGCATCAGCATTTGTGAGATTATATATGCTTTTTTTTTTTTTTGTGGTACTGGGGGGTTGAACTTAGGGCCTATACCTTGAGCCACTGCACCAGCTCTGTTTTGTGTTGGAAGTTTTTTTCTTTTTTCAGCATTTTTGTGAAGGGTTTTTCCAAGATAGGGTCTTATGGAACTGTTTGCCCCGGCTGGCTTTGAAGCATGATCCTCCTGATCGCTGCCTCCTGAGTAGCTAGGATTGTAGGCGTGAGCCACTGGAGCTGGGCTTATGCTTTTTATATTTATTTTACTATCTATCTTAGGTTATTTATTTAAAGTATTTTTATATGTAATACCTAAAATAGTTTCTTAATGTGCTTTGTCGTGGCATGAAAGGTCAAAAGGTGAGATGAAACATGCTTAGTGCTGCCATGGTAGTGTGTTAAGACCTGTAGCACCAGATCCCAAGCTAGCATTGGACTGGTATGTGAGGTTGAGCCCAAGCTAAGTAGGTTTGAGGTTGGGAGTGTGATAGCTGGTAGCATCAATGTAGACTAGAGCTGACAAAAGCAAATGGTGTAAGTAGTTTATGAGTGGTCTGGAGGAAGCATGGTTGGAGTCAAAGCTGTAAGAGAGGTGCAAAGGATGATGAATCAAATAGCTAGATAGGCTGACTCTGAAGAAGGGCCTGGGAACCTATAGGTGGGTAGGATACTATGAGAAAGTGATGTTTTGTGTACGTATCTAGAGCTAATTAGCATTGGTACTTTTTCCTTCCTACCTCTGTATTTGTACTTGTATCCATTTTTCTGCACTTAGAAGTTTTTAATGTGAATACAATGAATTTATGAATATATAGATATTTACTTAAAAGAGTGAACAAGTCCTTTGCCTTTCAAGCTCTGGGGCAGAATCGGTGGTGGTTAAACTAGAGGGCATCATTCTGGGCATTGCTACGTAAAGTGTGAAAAGTGAGTTATGTAAAGTCTTAGAGGAGCCAAATTAGCATACCTTATGGGTGGGTGAGACTCCCCACATGAAACCCAATTTAATCTGTGTCTAAAAATAGGAGCATCCCTCCACCTCCCCAGGGGAAGGAAATTTTGCTGGGATCCATCTATTATTTGTCACTTTTTTGAAAAGTCACTATTTTTTTTTTTTAGGAACAGAAATTTCTGTGATGTAATTCTTAGAACATTAGTAATATTGATGGGTGACTATTTCTTAATTTGTTTTTCCTATTTTAAACCAGATGAACCAATGGATATGTCAGTATTATCTGAAGCAGGAGGTGAGCCTTTTCAACAGAAGCTTCAAAGTAATGAAACAGTAGAAATAGAAAACCCACCTCTCCCAGCTGGGCCCACCATATCACCACAAGCCTCAACACCAGTGTCTCAGAGCACACCAGTCTTCACTCCTGGGTTGCTTTCTATCCCATCCCAGCCTGAGTTTTCTCATGTGAGTGTTGTAGAAAGAGTTTTTTCCATATAATTTATTTGTGTGTGTGTGTGGTGCTAGTGTTTGACTTCATATTATCCTTCCACAAGTTGTGTACAATTTCCAAGTGGCTATACCATAAGTAATTAATCATTCCTGTAACAGAGAGCATCAGGGTGCTTTTATTTATTTTTTTGCAGTATTAGGGCTTGAACCCAAGGTCTTGCACATAGTAGGCAAGTACTTTGCCACTGAGCTATATCCCCAGCTCCTTTTAAATTTTACTGAGATAAGGTCTCACAAAAGTTATCCTGGCTGACCTTAAATTCTTGATCTTCCTTCTTCAGCCTCTCAAGTTGCTGGGATGTTTAGTTTTTTTTTTTTTTTTTTTTGTGGGACTAAGTTTGCACTTTATTTTTTTGTAGTGAAAATGACAGCAAAGTTTATTAGGAAAGAAAAGTTTATTAGGAAAGAAATTTAGTATAACAGGATAAAGGTAGGGAGAAATGGGGGGAAAAAGGAGAAATATTTCCTGCTCCCAAAGTAGATTTTTAGTTTTTTAATACGTATGTTTCTTCAAAAAGCATGGGGAAACTAGCATCTAATTTGTATTATTGTATATTGAAATATTTAAAGAAATGAAATGCAGGTTTCATAGTGAGTTGAAGGTCCTTAATTTCATTGAAATGACTATGTACAATTTAATAATGTCCTTTCCAGTAAGATCTTACATTTGGTCAATTATTGTAGTATTACTGGGAGAATTTCTTCTATGCTTTTTAGTTTGCAGGTGGTGTTGCAAGTTACAAGTTTTAAAAATAAAATTTAAAAATGAATAGTAATGAAATATGTCATAAATTTAGCAAGGAGGGGAGAGTAGGAAGAAAGAAATTTACTTTCTGGAGTTTTAAAACTTGTTTACTTTGTAGAAGAATTCTGTTTCATGTAAATTATTAGAAGCAATTTGGTGGGGTGGTTGAGCACAAGGTCTCTCAAGTCAGAACCCTTGGTTCTGCCGTTACTTCCTTTGTGGCCAATTGGAACTGAGCTTCAGCAACCAAATGGAGATACGGATCATCTTATCTCAGAGGTTAGTTGTGAAGGTTCTGCAAATTAATACATATATACATGCAGTGCCTTCAAGTGGTGGGTGCTCAACCTCCATGTGTCTTTTTTTTCTTTTTATTTTTTTAAACTTAATATTTGTATTTAACTTAATACACCCCAAATGCTTCTTTTAGCTTATACGCAATATAAAAAAGTCTTTCTTCCAAACTACTTCTTTAAAACCCAGTATTTTACAGTTAATAGCACTTCTCAGTTTGAATCAACTTGTTTCAAGTGTTGAACAGCTACCTGTGACTAGCGCTTCCTGCTGGACAGCACAATTCTACATGGTAAACTAACAAAGCCAACATCTTTCATTTAAAAAAATTCCTCTTTCTTTTGTGTACTGGGGTTTGAACTCAGGGGCTTGTGCTTGCTAGTCAGGCACACTGGCACTTGAGCCTCGCTCCCAGTCCTCTGTCTTTACCTTTTTGAAACAGGGTCTCACTGTGTAGCCCAAACTGACCTTGATCTTGGTCAATATTTCTGCCTCAACTTTCTGAGTGCTGGGATTACAGGTGTGTACCACCATGGCCAATTTAGCTTTTATTTTTGTGTTATAGCGGTACATAAACATAATATACAAGTTACTAGCATTTCAAGATAAGCTGTAAGTACTGACACAAAGCATGAGAAGGATTTTCCAGAAAATGTATCTGATTTTAAAGACAATGCTTGCAGATATTTATCAGCAACCAAACAGGACTTTTATGGAATGAATGCTATTGCAAAGGTATTCTTACTTGGGGCAGATTTGATGTCTGGCCACAAAGAAACAAGAACTTTAAGAACAAGGCACTGTTTGAAGAAACTGTTCCACATGCAAACATTTACCAAATACCTTCAGCAATGAAGCTTTTAAACCAGCAATGAAAAATTTGAGACAAATAAGTGATCTTAAACATAGTTTAGAGATTCCCAGAACCTAGGATGATGCTAGTCAAATTTCCTTGGACTCATTTTGACATGTTTCAGCCCAGTGCAGTCTTATTTTTTCTAGATTCCAAAAAAATCTCTGAAGGGGACCTTTATAATACAGCTTTTTAAGTTAAGAGGTTTGGTTTTATAGCTGGGCTCTGGTGGCTCACGCCTGTAACCCTAGCTATTCAGGAGGCAGAGATCAGGAGGATCGCAGTTCAGTCTCCTCTTTGATTTACAGTTTGTAGGTATATGGAATTCTGGATTGGTAATATTTCCCCTTAAGATTTCGAAGGCACTGCTTTGCTAGTCTTGGAGCTTATAGTGTTGCTGTTGAGAAGTGTGGGCTGATTCTGATCTTGACCTTTAATACGTGGCTTTTTAAAAACTGGAATCCTAAAGATATAGGGTCTTCTCTTTGTCCTGAGTGTTCTGACATTTCCAGACCTTTGGCATGGATCTATTTTCATTGACTGTTTTGGACAATTCCTAGACTCTCTCAGTCTAGAAACTCAGATCCTTCAGTTCAGGGAAGTTTATTTTATTTTCTTCCCTTTTGTTTTATTATTTTAAAATGGAATATCTATTGTTTTGGATGTTGAAACTCCTAAAGTAACTTTAATTTACTTAACTTTGTGTCCTTGATTTCTCTCTCTCTACTCTATTCAGCTTTCTGGGTGATTCCCAGAACATCTGGTGATTTCTTTCTTTTTTTTTTTAAATAGCTTTATTGATATATAACTAATGTATCATAGAATTTGCTCATTTAATGAGTACAGTACAATGGCTTGTAGTATAATCACAGTTAGACATTCATCACCACAATCCAGTTTTAGAACATTTTCATCCCCCCAAAACCAAACCAAACCAACCATGCTCATTAGCACTTTCGTGTTTCCACCCGAAGCCCTGTGAGGCCACTAATCTACTTTTTGTCTCTGTAGGTTAGCCTCTTCTGGTTTTTATTCTCTTAAATATACTCGTAGTCTGTGGGTACAATTGCTGGGTTAAGCAATCTATGTTAACCTTTCTGTGAGTTACTACTTTGTTTCCTTGTGCTTTTAATTTCTAAAGTTTTTTTTTTTTTCTCGGTATTTTTTAAATAGCACTTTGTCCTTTTTAATGGCTATACTACATTATCTCTCTAAAGATATTAATAATGATGTAGCCCAGGCTGGCCTTGAACTTGTGATCTTCCTGCTTTGTCCTTCCTAATGCTGTGTATATGTGTGCCGCCATGCCAGGCTCTTTAAGCAAGTTTTGGTTTGGTGCTAGGGATTAAGCCCAAGGCCTTACACATACTCTACTGCTGAGCTACCCAGCTTGGTTTTGTTTTGCTCTCACTTGAATTAGAAGCTTGCCTCAGATGTCTGGTAATGCTTATTAATGATTAGTAGTAAATATGTAAAAATTTATGTCTGTTTGCTGATTCTTAAGAGAGAAATGCCAGAAAGATGTTAGTTGTGAGGTGGTGGTTGGGCTCGTTGTTTCTGGGATTCACTGTAGTGTCTTGATCATCTTCGGCTGGTCAGATTCCCCAGGAAAGTGTGTAATCTCCTGTCTGCTGGGTGCAGGCCTAGGTGTTCCATTAGAAGTCCACTGATGGAAGAGGGCATGTGGTGGGGTGTTATGAGCAGGTGGAGGTTCCATTCAGTAGGTAGGTTTTTCTTTAATTCCCCTGTTCTCTGTTAGTAATTCCTGATAATTGTGCCTCTTGTCCACTAGTCCAGGGACACTGCATAGAAGGGGCAGGGACAGAGGATGTGGAAGTTGAATTGCTTCTTAATAGATTTCCAACCACCCCTCCTGTTTTTAGCACCACCCTCTCCATTACTTTCAGAATTACTTGGTGCTACTGTCAAGTCCTAAATAATTTTTTGAGGGGTAGGTTATAGGGGTGGTTTGGTGGCATAACTCTGGTTGGTTCTCAAATGCTGGCTTATGAATTCAGCTTTTACTAGTCTGCCAACTATATTACCACTCTTCTAGAATTTTTTTTTGCCTTTCTTTTTCGTCAGAATTTATACTTTTTAGAAAAAAATAATCCCTTTACCGTTGCATAGCAGAGTTTTAGAAGTAGTTGAAATAGATGTGTATATTGAGACTACTATTTTTATTGAAAGCTCCTTGCTGTCTTTCATTATATATCAAATTCCTACTGTTAATCTTTTCTTTTTTTGGTAGTACTTAGGGTCTTGGATTTTTTTGCCTGGGCTAGTTTTGGATTGCTGGCCTCCCTCATAGTTGGAATTTAGGATATGTGCCACTACTCCTGGCTTATTTGTTGAGATGGGGGTCTCACTAACTTTTTGCCTGGTCTGGCCTCATACCTTTATCTTTCTGATCGCCACCTCCTCAGTAGCTGGGATTACAGATGTGAGCCACTGTATCTGGCTACATGTTACTCTTAATGGATAACCCTTGCACATCTGTTATTTATTCTGTACCTTGGTTACTGGAGTTCAAATTAACCTAATTTTGATGTTGTAAAATATAAATATTTATAAGAAGATAGATAATGAAGAGAATATTGGGATAGAGGCAGTTGTGTGAATTTCTTTCTTTCCTAATACACTTGTTAATTGGATTGCCTTTTTCTCCCTGAGTTCAGATCCCATTTACAGTAAGCCTGCCTTATTCTTGGACTTACTGCAAGTGGTTTTGACCAAGTGCAGTCAAAGAAAAAATTTAAAAGAAATAAAAAATTTCAAAAACAAAAATTTTGAATTCCTGGCACATGCATTACATAGCTCAGAGGATGTGGAGGAGCTTTCAGTCAGTCCTGCGTTATTGTCATTTGTGTTTAAATCATGTGAGCTGCTGGGTATTTCCTTGCCCTTCATTTTGTGAAAATAAGCCTCCCAAAAAGCAAATGGTGCCCAGAAAGCAAGAGTTAACATATTTAAGTGCTAAAGTGAAAATCTGAGCTTTCTTGAAAGGCAGTAGATCTTTAGTGAAGTTGGGTGGCATTATAGGAGAAATGAGCCAGGCATCCACAGTGCACACTGAACTGTACATCCTGAGCATTTGTGGTTTTCCTCAATGATGGTCCCTTGGAACCACAGACTGCAGATACCAGGTCTTCTGTACCACCAAAAATAGTGGTTAACTCCCTCATTTCCACTCCAACTGACTGAAATTTTACGTAGTATAACCATCCCATCATTATGGAATGGTTCCTTTATCCTAAAGTGTTCCCTGAAATTCTTTGTGGTTGATATTACTATGTTGAGGTTGATTTCACTCCACCACCAATACTCCCCTTTCCTGTCCTAGGCAACTATACATCTGCTTTCTGTCATTATGCTTTTGTTTTATTCTAGAATTTCATATGATTGAAGTCATGGAGTATGTATAGTCTTTTGTGTTTGAGCTCTCACTTAACATTTCTCATATTCATGTTGCATATATTAATATTTACTTCATTTTTACATGTATATCCGCAGTTTATCCATTCTCCATTTGGGACTTTTTCCATTTGGGACTATCATGACTGACACTGTACATTTACATACACATCTTTATGTGGACATGTGTTTTTATTTTTCTTAGGTAAATGGCTACAACAGAATTTCTGAGTTTTATTGGTGATGCATGTTTAACGTTAGAAGATACTGCTGTACTGTTTTCTTAAGGATCGGTTTCTTTTTGCTCTCCTACGAGCAGTGTATGAGAATTGTAGTTCACATTTTTGTCAGTATTTGGTTTTGTTATTTTAACGTTAGACATTTTTCTGGGATATATTTATTTGTGTTTTGCCTAATACTTCTTTGCCTAATAACTTCTCTATTGCCCAGTACTTTTGTAACTTTGAATTTTAACATCTGCTTTGTGAATGCTAGCATATTGTGGGATAGTTGGAAGCAAAATGAATACATAGCCCCACTTTGTGAGATCTGAAGTGGCTCTATGGCATACTTCCAAAATATTCCTGTGTAATCAAGGGCCCATCATACACATGATATGGTTTTAGCAGTTTGGTGATGTACTTAAATTTAAATGTGTTTCTGTCATTGTAAGATTGTTAGTGCTTTTAGGCTTTTGTTTGAATTATGCCTATTCTGTGTCAGATTTCCTAAGAAATGCACAAGACAGAGTGACTTGTGTAGATGAAAGACTGATGATTATGAACGTTGTATTTCTGAGAATGATAGTCCTAGAGTTCTTTAATTCTTGAATAATTGATTTAGAAATTTAGATGTATCTGAGGATAAACATAAAAGAAACATGATATGGACAAATGATGATTTGTTTTACTCTTCCTTAGGATATTTTCATTCCATCACCAAGTTTGGAAGAACGACCAAACGATGGGAAGAAAGTGAAGATTTGCATAGCTCATCCTTCACTGTTGAGTGTTCTAAAACTGCAGAGATTGAACCAAAGAATTCCTCTGGGATCTTGGGCTCTCTTTGACAGGGGATTCTTGCAAGTTGATGCTTTCTACAAGTGAGTATAGTCAGTCCCCAAAGATGGAGAGCTTGAGTTCTCATAGGATGGATGAAGATGGAGAAAACACTCAGATTGAGGATACTGAACCCTTGTCTCCAGTTCTCAATTCTCAGCTTGTTCCTGCTGAAAATGATGGTGTCTTAATGAATCCAGCACAACATGGCCAAGTAGAACTGAGTCAGAATGATGACAAAACAAAAGGAGATGACACAGAAAGTAGAGATGACATTAGTATTTTAGCCACTGGTTGCAAAGGCAGAGAAGAAACTGTAGCAGATGATGTCTGTATTGATCTCACTTGTGATTCAGGGAGTCAGGCAGTTCCTTCTCCAGCTACTCGATCTGAGGCTCTTTCTAGTGTCTTAGATCAGGAGGAAGCTATGGAAATTAAAGAACACCATCCAGAGGAGGGTCTTCAGGGTCTGAGATTAGAAGAAATCCCTGAGACTCCTTGTGAAAAGTCATGGAGAGGAGTCAAAAGAAGAAAGTTTGGAGAGTGTTCCATTGCATCTTTCTTTGACTGAAACTCAATCCAGGGCTGTGTCTTCGAAAGGACATCCCCAAACAAGAATGCCCAGAGGCTATGGAAGTTGAAACCAGTGTAATCAGTATCACTTCTCCCCAGAAGCTTCCATACTTGACCAAGAATTAGAACACAAGGATCCAGAAGCTTGGGAAGAAGCTACTTCAGAGGATTCAAGTGTTGTCATTGTAGATGTGAAGGTGCCATCTCCTAGAGGTGATGTTTCTTGTGAACCTTTGAAGGAGTGGAGAAAGGCTCAGATTCCCAGTCGTGGGAGGATGTTGCTCCAGAATAGAACCATGTGCTGAAGAATAGACTAGATCCCAGGAAGAAAAGAATATAGATTATGAGGGAAATCTGAAATCGTGACAGTGGAAACGGAATCCGTAGAGGAAAATGCTCCACAGCGTCCCTTGCCTGAAGCGAGAGCAGAGAACCTCCCATACCTGACCAGGAGATGCAGCAGCCCCAGCTGCAGGAGAAAGCAGAGAACTCATTAACAGAAGACTTAAAAGTGGCCAATGCCACACAGCTGGACTCAGGTGTAGCAGCCCAGCAGCTGGAGAAGGTCCCTGCCCGTGTCTCACAAAGCTTCTGTGAAAGCTCTAGTGGTGAGTGACTGCCCACTATTCTGAGTATGTAGCCAGATTGTCATTTGCTATGGAAGATAGAGACAGCTACATGCTTGTGTCTGTACTCAATATTAACTTGAGAGTATATTTATGAACAGCCAGTGATATTTGGGAAATTTAAGATTTTGGGTTTTATTTTTCTTTTATAGATAAAATTATTTGTGGAATCAGAGATCAACTGTATAACTCAGGAGTAGTCAATATGAGTATTTAGAAATTTCATCTTATGTTGGTCTTACCTTGGTATGTGCTTTCATTCTCTCCACACACACAGATACACACTTACAAAAAGTGTACACATGTGTATGTGTGTGTGGTTCTGGGAATTGAATCCAGGGCCTCATGCATTTTAGGTAAGCCCCAACATATTTATTTACTGCTGCAGTTTCTTTGAAGTACAAGGATCTCTTTTTAAGAATTGTTTGGGGTGATACTGGGTTTGAACTCAGGTCTTCACACTTGCAGGATTCTACCACCTGAGCACACTTCCATCCCTTTTTGCATTGGTTAGTTTTTGAGTAGGGTCTCACCATTGTATATCCACGGTGGCCTGGACGTGATCCTATTTACAATTCTGGCATAGCTAGGATGTCAGGCACACATTACTATGTGCACCTTATTGGTGAGATGGGTCTTACCAACTACTTGCACAGGCTGGCCTCATACTATGCTCCTCCTCATCTCTGTCTTCTGAATAGCTATAGACATGATGTTTTTAAGACATCATCTTGGCTGGCGGAGTAGCTCAGTGGTAGAGCACATGCCTAGCAAGCATGAAGCCCTGAGTTCAAACGCAGTGCTGCCAAAAACATCATCTTACTGTGTAGCTCAGGCTGCCTTCAAACTTGCACTCCTCTGCCCCACCTCCCACATGCTGTTGATTACAGTGTGTACCACCACACCAGCAGGAGTACTTTTGAGTTATTCTAACAATTGCCATACACAAAGAAGTTTCTAAAACACTGAGATGCTAGTTATGTTCATATTATTATCATAAATTTTGTTTATTCATTAATCGGTGGATACTATTTTTATTATTATTATACTATTTTTTATTATTAATTTTATTATGCATAATGTGCATACAAAGGCTTGGGTGATTTCTTCCCCCTGCCCCCATCCCCCTCCCTACCACCCACCCGCCCCCTCCCTTCTCCCCCCACCCCCTTGATACCTGAATACCCGGCAGAACACTATTTGCCCTTATCTCTAATTTTTTTCTTTTATCTTTTATTATTCATATGTGCATACAAGCTTGGTTCATTTCTCCCCTCTGCCCCCACCCCCTCCCTTTACCACCCACTCACGCCCCTCCCTCTCCCCCCACCCCCTCAATACCCAGCAGAAACTATTTGCCCTTATTTCTAATTTGTTGTAGAGAGAGTATAAGCAATAAAGGAAGGAACAAGGTTTTGCTGGTTGAGATAAGGATAGCTATACAGGGCATTGACTCACATTGATTTCCTGTGCTGTGTGTTACCTTCTAGGTTAATTCTTCTTGATCTAACCTTTTCTCTAGTTCCTGGTCCCCGTTCTCCTATTGCCTCAGTGCTTTAAGTATCTGCTTTAGTTTCTCTGCGTTGAGGGCAACAAATGCTAGCTAATGTTTTAGGTGTCTTACCTATCCTCACACCTCCCTTGTGTGCTCTCGCTTTTATCATGTGCCTCAAAGTCCATTCCCTTGTTGTGTTTGCCCTTGATCTAATGTCCGCATATGAGGGAAACATACAATTTTTGGTTCTTTTGGCCAGCTAACCTCACTCAGAATGATGTTCTCCAATTCCATCCATTTACCAGCGAATGATAACACTTCTTCTTCTTCATGCTTGCATAAAATTCCATTGGTATAGATACCACATTTTCTTAATCCATTCGTCAGTAGTGGGGCATCTTGGCTGTTTCCATAACTTGGCTATTGTGAATAGTGCTGCAATAAACATGGGTGTGCAGGTGCCTCTGGAGAACCTGTGTCACAGTCTTTTGGGTATATCCCAAGAGTGGTATTGCTGGATCAAATGTAGATCAATGTTTAGCTTTTAAGTAAGCTCCAAATTTTTTTCCAGAGTGGTTGTACTAGTCTACATTCCCACCAACAGTGTAGAGGGTTCCTTTTTCCCCCGCATCCTCGCCAACACCTGTTGTTGGTTTGCTAATGATGGCTATTCTAACAGGGGTGAGGTGAATCTTAGTGTGGTTTTAATTGCATTTCCTTTATTGCTAGAGATGGTGAGCATTTTTTCATGTGTTTTTGGCCATTTGAATTTCTTCTTTTGAGAAAGTTCTGTTTAGTTCACTTGCCCATTTTTTATTGGTTCATTAGTTTTGGGAGAATTTAGTTTTTTGAGTCCTATATATTCTGGTTATCAGTCCTTTGTCTGATGTGTAGCTGGCAAATATTTTCTCCCACTCTGTGTGTTCTCTTCAGTTTAGAGACCATTTCTTTTGATGAACAGAAGCTTTTAGTTTTATGAGGTCCATTTATCTATGCTATCTCTTAGTTGCTGTGCTGCTGGGGTTCGTGAGAAAGTTCTTACCTATACCTTACTAATTCCAGAGTATTTCCTACTCTTTCCTGTATTCAACTTTTAGAGTTTTGGGGTCTGATTATTAATATCCTTGATCCATTTGAGTTAATCTTGGTTATAGGGTGATATAATGGATCTAGTTTCAGTTTTTGGGCAGACTGCTAACCCAGTTTCCCAGCAGTTTTTGTTGAAGAGGTGCTCTTTCTCCATCGTATATTTTTAGCTCCTTTGTCAAAGACAAGTTGTTTACTACTTCGTGTGGCTTCGATAATCTGGCAGTCTCTGTTCTGTTCCACCTGGTCTTCATGTTCTGTTTTGTGCCCACCCAAGTACCATGCTGTTATTGTTATGCTTTGTACATACAGTTTGAAGTCACGTATTGTGATACCTCCTGCTTGTTCT